TGGGCATTTTTTGCATTTTTCTTCTTTGTTTCAACCCAAATGACACGGAAACACTTGAAAAGGTGGAAAGGCCTCTAATTGTTCTCTGAACAATTAGTCTCCTAGTTATTATTATTTTTCTTCCCGGACTTTTGAAACCGCAAGACTTATAGAAAAACTTTATAGTTCAGGATACTGGATATTATACACTTATCCACTGGTTGTGAATGGGATAGCTCTTTTATCAAACCTGCGACAGGAACTATTCCCCGAGGGCTTGCCCGAGGGGAATAGTTCCTGTCAAGGGTTTGATGAAAGAGCTATCCCACTCACAGTCAGTGGATAAGCGTTTTATTATACTGATGTATATCATAATTTCTGAGGGTTTGTTTTACCTGATACTACAGTTTCGTAGGCAAAACATGAAAAGAATTATTATAATAGCTTTGGACAAGTATTAGGTAACACTGCTAGAATGAGCTGAAATCTTGATGACGTCACAATGCTACTGAAGTCAGGACGACATCATCAGTCTATAGGCTGATTATAGGAAATAAAAATTGGCGGCAAAAATTGCATGAAAATTTTCCGAGGGGTGGATAGCACAAACTATACCCCGGGGTATGGCTTTGCTATGCATGGAAATTTTCAGACTATAAAAGATAGTTATTTTACCTTCTTAACTTTATATAGGAAACATTTTAACAGAAGTATAATAATAAAAGTTATTCTGAAAAACGACCCCCCATGTTTGAACTTTGACCTCTTACGAAGTTATTGCCCCTTTCGCAAGAATAGCTTGTTATCGCTACTCCTTCGAAGCCGTAAACCGTAGAGGTATGAAACTTTCACCAATGTCTTCGACTAAATGAGGGGACTCTTCAATCTATTCATTGTGAAAGAATTTGTTGACCACTTCAATGAGTTATTGCCCCTGAAAGTTTTTGATGTTCACAAAAAATTAAAAATTTTCAAAACCATAAGTCGTAGACACATGAAACCAACTGCATTGAATTCTTTGACCTTTGACCTTGAAATTTATGTCAAGGTCAAAGGTCAAGGTCATTCAAACTATGAGATATTTATAACTCTCTTGTCTTTCAACATATACTATATGTCTTTGCATCATTAATATGTCCTCTTAAAACTATTTCAAAGATTTCATTCTTGTCCCCTTAACTTAACCCCTTTGAAAGTTATTGCCCCTTGTGCGAAAAACCTTGTTATCGCTACTCCTCTGAAACCGTAGACCGTAGAGACATCAAACCTTCACTAATGTCTTTAGGGTCTTTAGACACAACTTCAATCTATTCAGTGCGAAAGGATCTGATGACCCCTTATATGAGTTATCGCCCTTTAATGTCTTTGGGCTTAATAGTAGGCCTTATAACTTTTAAAGTATAAGTCCTAGAAGCATGAATCCAATTGCAATGTGATTATTGACCTTTGACCTTTAATGTGTGGTAAAGGTCAAAGGTCAAGGTCATTTCAAAAATTTTCATTTTTTCTATTTTTCAAGCCATTTATGGATTCTTTTTTGTATAAAAATTAAATTTAAAAAGTAAAATATAAAAATTAAAGAAATTTACAGAAGGTGGAAAGACCTCTAATTGTTCGAGAACAATTAGTCTACTAGTTTTAATATCAATGCTGAATTTTCAAAATCTATTTTCCGAAATGCAATAAATTAAAATGCTTCCTGGCAGTTAAAAAGAGTTTTGAGTCGGGCCATTTTTAGCCGGTCGGAGAGGGCAATCAACCAATTTTGACAGATGGTCTAATATGTACAATATCGTAAGAAACATACATTACCAATGTAAAAGGGGGAAGGGATTCTCTCGGCACTTATTATTGTCTGTGTCAATATTTACCAATGTAGGACAATGAATACATGTATGTTCAGTATTGTAGGTGCATATTGCCTCCCCTCTCCCTTCCCTAAACTTCATTTAATTTGTCAGAAAACCTCCTCAAACTTCATTCTTTAACTTGTCAGAAAAGTTTAACTGGATTGTGTTACTACCCCCCCCCCCCCCATCCCCCTCTTGCCGATCAATTTTTTGTATCCTCCCTTCAAGCTTTCTTTCATAAATTCATCTAGGTCATGAATAAAATAACAAAAGATATATCCTTATGATGAAAATTTATCAAACAATGAACTCTTTAATTACAAGGAAGACGCAATGTTATCAGTCTTATCTTACAGATTCTTTTTAAAAATTAAAAAACAAAAAATATTTTACATAAACTACAAATAAATAAAATTCAAGTATGTAGAATATCTAAACACATGTTTTTTATTTGTTTGTTTTTTATTTAATATTTACTTTTCTCTGAACCGTATATCAGAGCAATATTCACGTCTAACATGACGTCGCAAGTGTTTAAAAGAAAAAAGCATACCGGGTATTTACCGATATAAAACCATTATCTGTGTTTTATTTATGAGAAAACTTAAATAAAGATTTTTTTATCGGATTTTTAAAATCATGTGTTACAATTGACCAAAATGGACATTTATGCAAACATGTCGACACTCTAAAAATTTACATGTAACTTACGTCTGATACAGAGTCCAAAACACCTCTTCTTTATAAAATTAAACTAATACACTGTAACAGCTAGTATATGATTTAGATATACTTTAACAAAAACAACTATATCAAATATTGCATGAAAAATAAAGGAAGGGGATTTATGCATAAACTTTTCGTGTATGTTTTCGTGTGATACAGTAATGTTTTTTCAATCAGATACATATTTCAAATATTTCTGAGAGGGATATAAAAGCGTCAGTTTGAACGTCATTTTTCAAGGTAATTTTAACATTTTCTTAACCTTTGATTTCCTATATCTCAGTAATTATTCTGAATATTTGAAAATTTTGTAATTACAATGAAATGAAGAATTTTTGTAATTACAAGGAAAAAAGAGAGTAGGGATTTTTCACAGGACAAATATTCAACTAAGCCTCTAGAAAACCCTAGAAAATTCCATATGCAACACAACTACTACTGCCAAATGCCATCTGCCACTACAACTGTTGACTGCCACAACTCTCATTAACATTGCCTACTGTTTTTTTCTTTCATAGACACACTAATAAACTATTTAAACGAAACAAAAATAACAACAGACCAAGTTGTTTATTGAAGATAGGTAGTTAGTATTACAGGTAGTTAGAAGAGATATAAATTTTTAAACTATGGTGATTCCCCATTTCTTTATAAATAGCGCAATCGTTTTCCGCAAACGACAGATTGTGCAACCCAGCTTAAGGTTATCAAAATGGTTAACAGTGATAAGTTTTATTTTTAAATCAGTATTTTATCTTGTTTCAGATGTAAAGTCTATTATTGACGTTAAATTTCATATGAATAAACTAAAATAAATGTGAGAAAATAAAAAGAAACTGAAGTACAATAATGTTGCAACACTGCAAAAAATTTAATAAATAAACTTTCGCATAAGTCATATTTGTAAGATTGTCGTTAACGTCTTTTTCGTTATGTTTGAAATCATAATGATCTTGAAACGTTTTGGCGAAAGTTCTGTATGCTTGTTTGCTTGTAAAATTTGATACAATCATAATTTTAGATTTTGAATTGATTTCACTATTAATAATATATATATTTTTGTAGCCTTACCTCAAGTTTTTTTTGTCAAGTTAAGACTCTTCATGACCAATAATATTTAGAAACTTCGTTGAAATGAAGTTTGAACTTCAACAATTTATAGGGAAAAATATACAGAAAATCAAGTAGCCCCCCCCCCCATGTTTGTTATTGTCTTTTAAGTTCTTTATTAGCGAAAGCATTCGTATAAAAGTAAAAGTTGAAAAACTATGACATGTTCTTTTAAAATTAAATACATCCATTTGACGCGTGCTGCAGTAGTAATCTACTGAATTACAATGCCAGGAAATAGAGGTGTATTTTTTTTAATCACAAAAACATATAAAACATCGAAAGTAATTGCCTGGGATTTATTTTTTATCAAGAGAAAATAGATACATTCCATGGATCGTAATCTTTTATTTTATTTTTCAATTTTATTTTTCAAATTTAACACTAAATGTAGAGAGGTAAACTCACAGAACTTGGTTAGCAATGGACATCATGATTCTACATCTAGTTAGCAAAAACTTAATAAGGCTATGTATGGATTTGTAAATGTGAAGACGGGGGAGTTCAATCGATATTAGTCTCTATTAGTATTTGGAAGTATTTGATTGGCTTACAGGTTTTATGTTAAAATTTACATCAGAAAAATATTGTAGATTATTTGTAGCCAATTGAAAGCATAATTCAAGTGGATTTATTGAAAAATATTTAGTTTTATTTATTGTAATAAATAATGATGAGATTGAATTTTTCAGCTCCTGAGTTTTACATTTGCAATTATGTTCTAGACTAGCTAGATAGTGTGAAATGAGTTTTCCAGTCGGTGAACAATGTTTGGGCCTGTTTACACAGATAGAAGACAAAAGAGGTAAGCATGCCAGACATATAAATTATCTTACAAGAGCATGGCAGGAAACAATTTTCCACTGCGTTTTCCCTGAAAGCGAAAATGACTGCAATTCTCGGAAAGGTCGCACTCCATATAATTTGGAATAAGATACCTTGTGTTTTATTATACGATAGGGTAAACTTTTATTACGTAAATAATTAACTATTTTGCTGTTCCAACATCTAAAATTATATTATGAATTTCTATTTACAATAATACCATATGTTTTAATAATATGCATTCACAAAGAAGAAACGAGTCTGAGAGTACCTGAATTCTATTTATAATAAGTGTCTGTGCGCCTCATTATATAATAAATATTAATACTTTCCCTATTTGAACATCAAAATGAATACTGATATCATCGACACATTGTACACATGAAGATAGTTTTTATTCATTTTAAAATAGAAACAGAAAATTTCCCAGTTTTATTTTTAGTTCGATAATAAAACTGGAAATTCTGATATCATTGATTTATAAAAGCATTGAGTTACGTCCTTCGTACATTGAGAGAAATTCATTGTTAGCATAAGGATGTATCTTAAACCACTGGAAATTCGCTTTAGTCAAGATTCCATTGGGAGGACATTTGGTCGCTGCACGTCACATCCCTTTAGACCCATAGGAAACACATTGGACGATATTTTATCTGGGCGTTGTAACATTAACTCTATTCCTAATATTTCTGTGGTAAAAAGAGATGGTCTTTGGTTTACATCAGACAACAGAAGATTATGGGTGTTTCAAGAGGCAGAGAAGCGAGGGAAATGCAGTGAAATATACGTCAGGGAGACGAGTTATTTTAACTACAGTAAGTTTACAACTGCAAACAATGGTACTTCTATATATGTTAGAGGGAACCCAGGGGGCTCCCTTTGGAGAAGAATGCCAGAAGTGAGCAGGAGTCTGAGAGAGTCCGCTCGAGAAGTGTCAACGATGTACTCCAAAACTTTCACGAGAACTTCTACAAATATAAACACGGAGATAAACACTAGGCAGATAGACCAAGATATGAGTTTTCCTTTGGCAAGCTATAGGCAAGGCAGTCTTGTAAATACAAATTTGGCTTTTCCGAAACCGTCAGAGGACGATTCATCAGAAACGTCATCAGACTGTGAACAGAATTACACAGTAGATGTCAGAGATACAAATGGGGTGTTTCCTAAGCCAGCTGAAGACGACACAACAGAGAAGTCATCAGAATGTGAGCAAAATTATCCAGAAAATGTCAGAGAAAGCAAAGTAGAAGAAATGGAAGGAGACTTTGATAAACAATCTGACTCTTTGCCTGAAATTGCTGATGTTAATGGAAACAGCCTTGATGAAGAGCCATCGATGGGTTTCTCCTCTAAAACATATAGTGATTGTTTGCCTCTTCAACAATCAAGAGAGTTTTCAAACAATTTCTATGACGTATCACTAGCAGATGATGCAGTTAAAATTCCGGCCAATGAAATTGTGGCAACAACAGAACATATAAAGGGAACAGTTATGGAGAACAAAATATTTGTGGGAGACGAAGAAGATGTAGAAGACAACAAGAGTAGGGATGGCATAGAAAAAGAAGAAACGAATGAGGAAAATAAAATAGCCAGAGACCAAATAAGCAAGATTTCAAATTCAGAGTTACTTAATTACAGAAAAGAACATTTCATTCTAAACATGGAACATGTGTCGGGAAATCCACCAAAAAAGCGCACGTCCACGAAAAGAATTATATGTGTATCATTTATTACAATAGTACTGTTAACCCTTGTATTTTTTCTTATTTACATTCTCTACTCTATTTTATCTTCTGAAATGTAATCTAATGGAGACCTTAAGAAAAGAAAAGAATCTTCAAATATTTATAAATGATTTAAATGAAGTTATTTAAAAAAAAAATTGAATCACTTTATACCTACAATAAAAATTGTTGCTTACTGTATGCTAATTTTATAATTGATATGTATTTTTAGATCAAGGTGGATTCCGTGTGTTTATTTTTAATCAAACATGATCGTTTTCTGAAAACAGTCTATTACGTAAGCTGTCTGGTCTAGACATTATGTTAAATTATATTTACCTTTTGCTACGTTTAAGCAAAATGTTTCGTTAGAATTACATTACTGAACATTATTGAACGCCTCGTTCAGAAATACATTGCCCTTAATGTAAATTATGTACATTCTTTTATCTTGAATTAAGTATTGATTTCATGTTTGTCGACATTAAAGCTATGATGGTAAAAATGACTCGTATAATCTATTTTTCTAAATGGTGAATAAAAGATATAACAATTAAAGACTGATTCCATGTTCATGAGTATCGTTAATTTTTTTTAATACTATTTAGGCAATGAACAGACCTAATGTCGCTACATGTACACGTTTTATCATATTATTAAGCATAAATCCTTATATGCAATGAAAATTTTTATTAGACGTATACTCGATGTTGAATACAAAAATAAACCCAAACAAACAAAACAAAATTTAAAAGACTTACTAAAAGTTATAAATTACATCCTTCATCCCTTTAGCCAGGTACGTGGACACCCATTAGAAAAGCCCAATTTCATTTTTGACTTGGATGACTAAAAAGGACGATTTGCAATGCAGTAGCCAAAGAAAAAAATTAATATTGAAAAAAAAAAACTTTTAGAAATTCGGAGGAAAAGATCGACATTAAAATTGTAAGAATGAGTAATATCTACGAATAATGTGTTTATCTTTTGAAGGCGACGGGATTAAGTTTTCTTTAGACCATGGTAAAATTCATTGATAGCAAGCGTGGTAATTTTCTGAAAACTGATCGATGGTCTCTCTTGGATTTTGTTGTAATTTGTGTCAACATTATTTTCAAAATTTTATCTATTGCAAGTAAGTACATTTTCTAGGACTGTTAATTCAGAGATAATGATTATAAAGTCTATGGCAAACTTTTATTATGTACTGATACTTTCGGTTTACTGTCATTTTCTGCAAAATATTTTAAAACTATGAATAAAAGTTCATTGAACGGTGAATCATTTATTCTCCATGACTTTCCCCCAGTTTACTGATCATTGAAAGTTTTATTGCTTTAGATCTGATTACATGTATTTTATATTTGGGTTTAATTTTGCATACAGTAAAAGTTAGAAAGTTTTAGAAACGATGGAAAGGGACTTAAACGTATGTGGGATGAATTATTTTTATTTATATTTGAACTAATTTCCTACTGTAGCAAGGCACAATCATATACAATGTACATACACATTTTATAATTACACCACAAAGCAGATGTTATCATTGTTTACAATATTAACGTGATATCTTATGGTATATTATAAATCTTTAATTCGTTTTATATATAGGAAAAAAAATTGCTCAAAAATTTCAGTATAGTGACAAAACGCTTATCTTAAGCATGGATCGAAAACAAACTAAAAACCCTTTTATATCTCAAAATCCAATGTAAAACAGCGCTTAACATTATTTATTTGTCATTTTTGTACTTTATATGAGTAATTAATCTATAGAAATATCCAAAAAAAATTGTTACGCGTTAGCTTCCACTTTGAATAACATTTCCTGTACTTTGGTTTATATTCATGTAACAAAATTTTGGATCCCCCCCCCCATATAACTGTTCCTCTTCTTTAATTTTCCTAGACATTTATTTTAAAAAGAAACTTTAAAAAGGGTTGTTTTTTTTTTTTACAGGGTTAGTGTAAAAAAACGTTTTGCAGTTTTTCAGATTGTATTAAAAGATGAATTGAGTATACGTGTCATTTATTGAAGTGTTGGTTTTGCGTTATTTCATATTCTAAAAATCTTTTGTTGTTGCTTTCAGTTTAGGCTTTATATAATTCTGTATTAAAATTGAATTTTAAAAAGTTGTTGGAAGAGAAATAATGATACAGGTGTAGTTTGTAATTATGAACTCAAAATGATATCTGAATCAAAACTAATTTTGAAACTTGGTATAGCCTTTGTGATATAAAATGGATATTTTTCGAATATCAATAAACTCTACACAACTTGATTTTAAAATTCTACTTAGGATTTGAGAATGTTTTGGTGTGGGTGGCTTAGACCGGGTATATCGGTCTGAGTGGCTCGGTGTTTGGAGTACCAAGTTTGTCTTTTTGTATTTCTCAAGAAAGTTTGGAGTACCAAGTTTACTTTTTTGTACTTCTCAAGAAAACTAAATAAGAATTCGAGTACTGGTCATATCTGTTTGAAAAATCTAAGTGGTGGTTCCATCATTTATACATGTACATGTGAATTGAATGGTGATATCATATCTCGTATTATTAAAGGTTTTTTAAATTATCATTAAAATAGAAAAAGAAATAACCTCCACCTTTTGATAGATAACATGAAATTTAAATGATTTCAAGTATTGAGTTCATTCGAATATACTAGGAGGAATTTATCTTTACCGAAGAATATATCTTATTCCATTGGAAATTCATTTCAGTCAAGACTTTACTAGGAGCAAATTTGGCAATTGCACGTCACATCCCTTCATGCCGATAGGAAATTACACTGGGCTACATTTTATCTGGGCAATGTAACATTAATGCTATACCTTATATTTCTGTGGTTAAGAGAAATAACTTTAATTAACATCAGACAACAGAAAATTTTGATGTTTCAAGAGGCAGAGAAACGAGGAAATGCACTGCAATATATGTAAAAAAAGCATGATTTATTTATTTTAAAAAAATGAACAACTAGGAACAGTGATTCTTTTGCTCCTGTCCAAGGAAATCTAGGAGGTTGAATTTTGATGTAATCCCGAAGCCAAAAGAACCCCCTGGAGAAGTTTTAACGATAAACTCAGAATCCTTCATGTCTACGTTTACAAAGAGAGTTGCGGACTTCTTTTAAACTTCTTTTCCAATTGTGTTTTTTTTTAAAATTCAGATTCCTTACAAACCTCATCAGCTGTTCAAAGAAGAAGGAAAAAACAGGAGCAATGAAAACTAAAGGTCTCCAACTTAACACACAGGTAAAAACTGTATACTAAACAAAGAAAGCATCACGGCAATTTTTGAATGTTTAAAAAAGCTCACAATTAGTACATTTAATGGTAAATACAGCATCTGATAGGTTAAATTTTAGTTAAATTCGATTCTCTTTAAACATGCTGCCTTATATGCTTGGGCCAAATCCGTTTTCCTTTCAGAATTTGGTCTTTCCTTGATGCAGTATAGTTCCATATCAATAAATTAAATATCAATATAATTTTTTCATTTAAATATGTAATTGAACATAACATATATATTTTTTTAATCATCTTTTGTTTATGTTTACTGCAGAAAGTTTCCAGCTGCAGATTTACATGTTTGCAAATGTTTGTAGGCGAGAGATTTTTGGCAAGGATACAAACAGAACAGAAAATGCAATTCATGCAACGAAGTGTCTAAAATACATAATACAATCTTGATGATTATACTTATTCCTGTTTACTTACAATGATTTAAAATCTGATGATTAATCAGATAGACTTAAACTAATACAAAATTTACCCATTTTTGGATTTCAAGTTATCGATGAAGGTTTTAGATTAAATAATTTCATATTAGATCGTTATATATCCTGAAACAACTATAGTACCTGGTCATATGTGAGTCATTATTTTTATTTTCCACTATATATTTCATTGAAAAATGCAATTATGACTTACTTTTGGGTATATACTGAAAAATTATATTAGCACAATGTATAATATGTAATGTATTTTTAAAATAGGGTCAATTCTCTATTTGATATATTATCAGCTTAATTTTCTGAAAATGGTTTATAACGCATGCTTGCAAGCTGTTTGACCAAGATATAGTGTATGATCTGCTAGATACAATGACATTAACCCACTATCTACATAGCTTGTAAAGATTAACTAACGGCATGCAAAAGAACATTACTCAAAAGACCAAATCTGAAAAGAGTGCATGAAAAAAAAAATATCATATATAATTTAAAATAACAATATAATTTCCCTTGCAAATTTTATTTTGGAGTAGGAAGCCCTCCCCCCCCCCCCCCCTAAGATAAAATATGTGTGGAAAATGATGGATTTGATCGTAAATTATTTGACCTTTTATATAATTTCTCAAGTAAAATATGTATGATAAAACAGATTATTTTACAGTACTTTCTTCTGTAAGGTCAAGTATCTGCATCATGATAATAATTTTGACTGAAAATATGACTATAATATTTTTTAAAATTGAAAGAGTTTTAGACAATTATCCTAATTAAATAGAAATCATAATGATAATATTTTTGGGACAAATGGAATCATGGCTAACGACTGAATGAATGAAAAACTAAAAATTTGCTGTGCTATGTGCTTGTAAATTTTTGAAAAATTTTTGCATTCAAAATTGCTTTATACCCAAATTAATTAGATCTACTGCATTTTATTACATGCTTACTACTCTGTAAGACTGTACCATTTTAAATTTAAAGGAGGACATAGGAGTATAAATAGCAGCCAATGGAAAAAATGGTGGTTTATTTGATTTTTCTGGCCACATTCAGATTGCAGAGAGTTATTTACAATACTGATTCTCTTTTATCATCAGATTTTTGTCATGCTTGTTCTTCTCAACAGTGTGCACCTTTGGTCACAAATTAAATTTACTAAAAAAAATTTTTCTTGGCTGTAATTTTTATTGAAATATTTGAAGCAGGGCTTCTTTTTCTATTTGAAATTCAAATTTGGCAGCAGTGGGCGTGACTTAGTTTGTTATTGTTTACACCGGATGTTGTTTAATCTCCTGCAGGCATGGCGGCAAGAAAGCCAGAGTGCTGCATTGTTTGACTTACTTTCATTTCTCGATAAATCCAGCCTCCAAAAGATAAAATCAATAATTCAGATTTTTTTACCTCTGTATTGAAATCAGAATAATTGATAAAATTTAAAATCCTCACAATATTAACACATACAAATGGCAAGTCCAAGTATATACCCAGCTTAATATCCAAACAAAAAAAAAAAAGAAAGAAAATGTCAATTTGATAGACTAGTGTCAACTATGAAATGAAAATTATTCCCACAAATGACCTATGTATTGCACATCTTTTGGATTTGGTAGCCATGTTCTCACAATGTTCACTACACATGTTGGCATTATGTCAAGTCTGTGCCATTCCTGTCCTGGCTGATATTGTTCTAAAGCTTGCATTTTTTTTCTCAATATAACGGGGATCACTCCATACTCCACGATGTAAAAGAATTGTCCAAAACCTTTTATATTTCTCCTTTCGTAATTTTGAATTCCTGGGATGGGGCGGTCTGAATGGTTCCACTTCCCACCATAATTGCCTGTTGTTGTCATCTGTGATACAGGGTTTGCAGAGGCAGAATGGACATTCCTCTCTGTTAATGTCTTGAAGGATGAAAAAATTTTCTTCAGCATTATCATTATTGTCACTGCACTCATCTTCCAAAAGTCCAATATCTAATCCTACATCTGTCTGCACCTCTTTGTCAACACATTCTGATCTTACACATGTGTTCCCGCCAAATTTCTCTTCCTGTGATGAGTCAAGAGGCTGAAAATCCCAGTCACTATGCAGAAAGAAATGTTTTATGGCTTCCATTTGCATTTCACTCACATCCAAAATTAATCTCTGCCTTTCCCCCATTTTGCTTACAAAATAAAATAACACATTGATGGACTCTAAATGATAACAGTGTAGGTACTAATTGATGCTGCTGTGTGAAGTCTAACCCCCCACATGATTATATAGGTGATAAGAGAATGGTTTATTACTTCATGCAATTTTGTTATAGGGCCAAACAAAGGAGAATTTTATTTACATTAATATTTTTTTTAATTTGTGGATTTTTTTTTTAAATAATTACTTTGAAATTATAAATTAAATAAATAAAGAAAACTTTTCAAAATTACTCGTAACAATATTTGTGAGGACTTACACTTATTTCTCTTTTTGGTACCTGTTACTTGTACTCTTCTCCCTTTGTCCCCCATAGATTAACCCACAACCAATTTAGGATGGTATTGTGTTACTGACAACCAATAAATATTTATACAATTTTGCTCAGAAATATCAGAAATCTTGTATTGAATCATTAGAAATCATGGCAAAAAATGAAGAATCATCAAAGAAACGTCCACCAAATTTTAGGCTTGAAATTCCAGGTGATGGGGAATTTAAGAGTAAAATTCAAGGAAAACTGCAAGAGGTGAAAACATTTCTCACTTCTAAGTACAATGCACCTGTAAACAATGCTGGAGTAATCGAGGAACTTTTGGACTTTTGGTTAAAAAAGCACTCGGAGGACCAAAGTGTTGAGGAGGATCAAGCACAATTTCCATCAACATATCTGCAAGTCAGGAAGAAGGATGTTAATCAGAAAATGTTTGTTTGTGCAGATTCATCACTCCTAAATATATGTGAACTTTGTGAAGCCCATACAAAAAACTGTAGTGGAAAATTAAAATTTTTAAAGAAAACCATGAAAGGACATGTTCTATCTTTGCGCCTTCAATGTACCAAGGAAAAAATGCACAGTTATTCCTGGTCATCCTCACCATATCTATCCAATGATGAATATCTGGTCAACCACAGAATATGTCATGGCCTCATGTGTAGTGGAATGTTACCATCTCATTACACAAGGTTTTCTAATGGAAGTGGAATAGGGTGCAGACTGGGCCAGAAGGAAACAATTTTTTGAAGCGTATAAAAATTCAGTCGAGGCTGAATATAAAGATTCCATCCAAGATGGTCTACATGAAGAAATCTGGAGTTACGAAGACTTGGATGGCATCAATATTTTAACAGATGCTAGACATGGATGGCGTAAAAATGCAAAAGACACATCTGTAGTGGCCATCGGTGAGAAATGTCACAAAGTTTTGGATTGTGTCCATGTCACAAAACAGCAAGACCCAGTTTCTCAACGACATGAAAGAATTGGCACAGAGGTTATTTATGAAAATTTCACCTCCCAAGATGTCACCATCAAGGTTCACTCCCATGACAGAAACCTTAGTATTAACAAATTTATTAAAGATACAGAAGAAACAACAAATCAGAATGATTTATGGCACTCAATAAAAGCATTAAAGAAATCACTCAAAAACATCTCCAGTGGCAGTAAGAAGTCTGAGGGTTTTACCTGGAGTGAGCAGCTAGTGGACAAGATTGAACCTATTGCCACTCATATTCATTGGGCTGTTCGTCACTGTGATGGAAACCCCCAAAAGCTACAAGAGTGTATAGAGAATATAATTCATCACTACGAAAATTCACATGAAAAGTGTCATCCAGAGTCAAGATGCAGAAAAGATGAAAATTATGAGCCTTCCCGAGTTGTATTAACCAGTAAAATTGCCAAAAAACTTTTAGAAAATACGCTTAAAGGATCTGTTATTTATAAATATCCTGAGGATTATATTTTGGGAAAAGATACTTTCTATGTAAAGAGTTTTAATAATGTCATGAACATATTCCAAGACAAGAGAATTGTTTTTGGAGAAGACCAATATAAACTGAGGTCAAACTTTGCTGTGTGCCACTGGAATAAGAATGTTGACCGGGAGCACACCTCAGTGTATCATTCTAGAAACCCAAATGCACCACGAAACCAGAAAGGGAAGAAAGTATATAAAATACTAACATTTAAATACAGAGATAATATCTGGTGTAAATATGTAAAGAGTCTTTATTGAAATGAACTGCAAAAATATTGAGCCAGGATTATTTTGTACATTGAGTATTGATAATTGTGATTAATAATTGAGATTTTAATTTTAATTAAAAGTGTTAACTAAATTAATTAGATAAACATGCAATCAATAAATCGACAGTGTGTGCTGTAAATCCTGCTTTGTATAATTATCACTGTGGGTCACTTGTTTAGCCAAGTATAAACACATGTGCTATCTTCTGTTATCAGCATGCTGGAGTTTATTTTTAACTTGACTGCAGCAGTAAGCGCCGCCCTACACCAAATTTGCTTAATTGCACTACCACCGGATTTTCAAGTAGGTCAAGCTCGGCCTTTAAAAATCTATAATGAGAATACACTGACACTTACTATTTCGAATCAAGGCCCTTATCTATTAAAACATTCCAAAAAGTACATTTCCATCAGCCTTTGTGTACAACATACCCTCGTGCTGCATTATATGGGATTTATTTTCATTCAGTTCTAGATACTGTACTTCGAGCTTTCCTCTTCACTGCATTTTCAGGAAATGCAGTTAGATGCATGTTTGCCAATTTCCTAGTTTCGTTTTGTTTACCGCGAAAACGCAGCCTGCTTTCAAAATGTAATTTTTATAGATCGTAACAGAATAGGTTTAAAACCTTTTTGATAACTGCCATGGAACTGAAACCGTCAGAAATCCGTTACAGTCAAGACTCTATTGCACGATATTTTGGACGAAGCACGAGTCATCCTTTCCAACCCATTGGCCAAACACTGGACTCTATTCTATCGGGACAATGTAACGTGAATGCAATCCCCAAGATATCAGTTGTCTCTAGACATGGACGTTGGTACACTACGGACAACAGACGATTATGGGTGTTTCAAAAAGCAGAAGAACGCGGATATTGTGATAAAATCACTGTGTATAACGCATATTACATTGACGAGGAGAAATTCACAACTACGAATGAGGGGCGGTCGGTGACCGTTAGAGGAGACCCTGGAGGGTACCTGTGGAGGAGATGTCCAGTCGTTAAGGGGGAATCAAGAGCATACGGTTACCAGGGTTCTAGGTCAATGTCAACTTCCGGATTGCAAACGTATGCCAGCAGGTCATCAAACACCCCCACTTATCAAACCAGACCTACAATGCCAGTTCAGATCTCCAGACCTTCTTCTTACACATCGAGCTACTCAGCGTATTCAACGCCAGAAAGACCTCGACAAGAGAGAAGGGAGTTCTCTTCGATGATAATTGAACAGGAGAAGAGAACGACAAACTCCAGTTTCTGGGACAGATGTGTCATTTTATGAATGTATATGTACCGGGATGTGAATACTTTGACTTCTCAGTGCATTTATTTGTAATGGTGGATATAATTTTTGATCGTTGTATCATCGTATATTAAGACTGCCATTGCCATATTATATATTTATTCATTTAAATCGAATTAAATTATTTATTTATCATGCAAATTTTAAATTAGTTTGGTCTTTTACCCAATTCTAGTCGGGATAGATTTGTGTGCATTATAACACATGTAAAAGATGAATCAGACGAATTAGTAAGTTATATGTAATTAGTTGAAAATTAAGATAATCTTAAATCCACCATGGCGTTTTGATGGAATGATAGTCTACGATAGCAGTATGGGTTCATATGTGGTCAAGAGGAAGGGAGTTTGCTCTTAGAAATAGATATTTATTCTCCCAGAGATGACATGAGAACAGAATCATTTAATTCAAACGGTTGTCAACTGCCGTGCTTACTTTCTTCAGAAATATTGCTCTAATTACAGTTTCGAGTATGTATTTAGCTACTATAGTATACTACTTTTATTCCTTTTAGCTTTTAAGCATTTCATACAGATACTGAACGCCACATCCGAATATGGCTAACATAGGGTTTCTTGTCAAACTGAAACCTTTTGTTTTTCTCGTCTTCTTTCATCACAAAACTATAGGAGGGAGTATGAACCAAAGAATAAACTAAAATCAATTTTACTAAAGAATTGTATCATGATGTTATGAAACATGTCGTTATGTTCAGTTGAAAATTAAAAAAAAAGACAAATTATATAAGTTTACTTATTCATGAACTTTTCATGACATTGATAATATGATTATACATGAAATAAATTATACAACCATGGACATTTATATCATGGCAAGATATATGTAAAAATATACAATCAATAATTTACTTTCATGCTATGGAATCTTTCAATCCTTATGAAATGTGAATTGATAAAAAACACATAAATGTAGAAAAATATTGAAACAAAATAGGGTAGGTTACAATCTCAACAAAGCAAAATCATTTAGGCGGTTGAGTATCAAGTGATAGTTCTTTGGTATAAATATAAAATACCACATATTTTTGCCATTTTCTCTGAAGTTTATATGCAACAGAACCATTGTATAAAAGACATCTGATATGGAATGTAGGTACAGACTGTGAACTGAGGTATATCAAAGATGAGGATATATATAGATAGGATTGAAAAATCCATATTTCTCTGACGTCACGGTTCCAGCCGTGTAGTAGCAAATTTCTTAAGCTCGGTATTTTTCTTTCTCTCACTATATTCATGAATTATGATCCACATATATCATTTTATGTTTTGTCTTTGATAACTTCCGGTCCACAAAAAAAGACCGGAAATGTTTGCATGGAATCCATCGATTCTCTGAGGTGGACCTCCTCTATACTCGAATCCATATTTGTTTACCATCGTGAAGGTCTTCTTTAATAAATGAGGTCTTAACTATGACAAATATTTCCGGCTTTTTCTTTCGTGTAATTTCCCTTTTTTCTCAAACACATTTATACGATGCTCTGTACATTGTTTTGGTTACGATTTCATAACGAATTCTGTAAAAATAGAGGAGAAAAAAAATCAAAATTTAAATTGTTCATTATTTTAAAGACAATCACAACAGAAATCATCTATTTTTAGCCGTCCCTAACAAAACTGTACTATAGTCAACTATAGTTTACTGAAGTGCATACTTTAAGACTTGAAGCTTGATGTACTAAGGAACTTTGATCTTGATTTTTTTTTTTTGGAGATTAAAATATTAATATCTCTCAAGTTCCTATCAATGAACACGGTCAATTTTTGAAATAGAATTTGAAAATACAAGTTGTATTTAGATATACAAACCGCATTTGATAATTAAAAAAACAAGATGTGTTTGTGAACCACTGATGCCCCCGTATGGCAGCTTATGGCGAAGGTTAAAGTTTCTCAAATGCAAGTCAAAATCCAGGCCAAAAGATAAAAAAATTAAATTTGAAAGCCCTTGCTGCAACTGTTCAAAAGTTATGGCGAAGGTTAAAGTTTTTTAAAAGTAAGTAAAACATCAAGGTCAAGGTCAAAGTTGTTGGTATCCAAAGGAAGGTCTTTTCACAAGGATTACATATGTAAAGTATGAAAGCCCTAGCACCAACCATTCAAAAGTTATGGCCAAGATTAACGTTTTTCGAAAGTAGGTCAAACTCCTATGTCAATGTCAAAGGGTCAAAGTGGTTGGTATCCAAAGGAAGGTCTTGTCACAAGGATTACATATGTGAAGTATGAAAGCCCTAGCTCTAACCGTTCAAAAGTTATGGCCAAGGTTAAAGTTTTTCAAAAGTAGGTCACACTCCTAGGTCAAGGTCAAAGGGTCAAAGAGGTTGAAATCCAGAGCAAGGTCTTGTCACAAGGAATACACATGTGAAGTTTGAAACCCCAAGCTCCAACTGTTCAAAAGTTATGGCCAGGTTAAAGTTTTTCAAAAGTAGGTCAAACTCCAAGGTCAAGGTCAAAAGGTCAAAGCTGTTGGTATCCAAAGGAAGGCCTTGTCACAAACAATACACATGTGAAGTTTGAAACCCCAAGCACCAACTGTTCAGAAGTTACGGTCAAGGTTAAAGTCTCATAAAATTTTGCAAAAGTGGGTCAAACTCCAAGGTCAAGGTTAAAAGGTCAAATATGATGGTACCCAAAGAAAGATCTTGTCACAAGGAATACACATGTGAAATATGAAAGTCATAGCTCGAACCAATCAAAAGTTATGGGCAAGGTTAAAGTTGACAACAGACAGACAGACAAACAGACAGACAGGACAAAAACAATATACCCCCGGGATCTTTCGATCCGGGGGCATAATAAAAATGAAATCTAACTATTTCAATTTCATAGTAAGAAGTATTTTGATTTACAACAATGAAAACTTTGATTTGCTGTAGTAAAACTGTTTGATACTGTACTTTGATTAACAGACGTAAAAACTTTGATACTTTGATTTACTGCAGTATTATACAGTTTGCTAAAGTAATATATTTGTTATGGAATTGTTGAAATCGATTTATAAATCACTATAAAACCTCGCTTAAAGAGGCTGGGGGGTTGTGGCCATTTTTAGACTATATTGATCTCCTTTAGAAGAAGAGCTCCATATGAAGATATAGAAAATGATCAAATTTTAAAACTAAAATTTTTGAAATTTTTCTTTGCCAAATGATAGTTGACAGCTTAAGATATCATATCTAAAAAATTAAGTTAAATCTGGTGGTTAATTTGTGGTTAATTTGTTGACCCCCCAGCCTCCTTAAATCAATTTTACTATGAATATTGAATAGTTGCTCCCCTTGGTTTACACTGACTGGAGAATATATATGTACTTCAATTTTTTGGCAAATAAAGAAGCATCGTATAAATAAATGTTAACAGAACAGTATGTAATGGCTCAGTGAATATAAGATTACGAAACACAAATTTTCAAGACTATAAAATTTTACTTCGGAAGTCTCACCTGGTTTTGACACAAGACTTCCAGCTCCAAGGACCACATTTCGTGATATATTCCTCCCTGACCATTCTCTTGTAGGACCTATCATATGGCACGGTGTACCGAGTATAACTGCAGCCTCTGGAAATATTAGTGAATATTAATGTAAATATTGCATGTATATGATTTTGGTTTATTTGGGGAGAGGTAGGGTTTTTTATTAAAATTTTGAAGGAAATTTTTCATTTAATTTGAAAAAAAAAAATATTAAAAAAAAAAAAGAATTGTTTTCAGTACATTTTCTTCATGATATCTCCTATCAAATCTACGATTCTGTTGCAGTTTTAGTGAGTAACAATTTTACCTTGTATTCAAGATAGAAAAAGATTTCCAAGTTTATCCCAAAAATGAACATTTTGGATTGACTGTCATTTACCATAATATAATTATGTAGATCCATAGGTCACTCCAGAGCAAGCGCCAATTTAGCTATTGTTAAAAATATACAGTGCAGTATATTTATGTGTTAAACCCCCCAAAATTCTTTAAACCAAAATGGCCCGAGAAAGCGTATATTCGCAATATGATCCTCTAATTACGGTACATAAATACATTTGCTCTGCCGAATTACATAGATATATTTCAATTTTAATTTAGAAAGGTGAAATTTGTCCCCACATTGACACTTTAATTATGTAAAATTTAGGAGTAATTCTAGACATACATTGCAACGCCTAACTATTTTTGACAAAATTTCATCACTTGTTTCTGTGTCAATTTCAATCTCCTGACACCTAAGGATATTAATATTCAGAATGGAATTAGCGTCTGGTTTTCGAGTAGTCTCTCTTTCAAGTCTGATTCATTGATATGCAGTCTTTAAGCAAATAATAACAATTCGAAACTGAATATCATGAGCTCATGTAACTTAAACACATTCCTCTATAAGAAAATTATGCAATAGTAGAATTTTATCTAATTATTTATTTTTTTCCTAAAGCATTAATTAAAAAGAGAAAAAAAACCTATTACCAAAATTCAAACCTAACAAAGAAAAATTATATACAGTTAAACTTTGGTATCTCAAACACTGAAATCTCAAATACCATGGATAAGTGATTTGGAGGTCCCAACTACTTATTCTTTAAGTATTCTACCCGAATCCTCGGATATCTCGAAGTTTTTTCTTGGTCCCATCGAGTTATTCGAGGTAACGAGGTTTTACTGTATTTTACTGCTGATTGCATTGATAGAACAGAATTTTGTCAATTCTTGTCATATATAAACGTTTTGTGTCAATTAAGCTATAATATTGAAAGAGGATAGTCTAACACAATTCTTATTCTTAGATAAAGTAAATTCCCCTCACCTAATTGAGCATCTTTTGCCTTTCCAACCCGCTGTGCATCGACATTTGTTATTTCTACATTTCCCGCCATTCAGACATGGTTGGTTGCATCGCCCTGAAAAGTAATAAGAGCCAATGATAATATTGCCCTTCTGTATTTTTTGTAATTTACATCAACGAATTAAAAAAAAGTCCCTTACTTAATTTCTGTACTGAGTACTGGTATTTGATTTATAGCGTTGATGATATACAAGTTTGAAAATGAACACTTATCAATTCATGTGTATTATATTGCAAAGAGGTGTTTTTAAAATGTACCTATATGGCACCATTTCCCTGAGTACCCCGGTTGACAGCTACATTTATTTGGTCCAACGCAAAACCCACCATTTTTACATCTTCTCCTACACTTATCTGAACAAAAGGAATAGAGTAATCTAAACAATTGATAATAATTTTTTTTAGAAATTCATTAAAATATGTACTTATATGCTGAGGAAATAAGGGGGGGGGGGGGAGAAGAGAACAAAAATTCAATGGTGTTAAAATAGACTATTTCTTTTGTTATGCATAAATTTGAAGTATTTAATTATCATTTATTCATAATATTGCTTTCATACGATTATGGTTACGTTTCCTTAAAAAAAAACACCAAATATTTTCATAACTCACACTTTTCGCAATGAGACCCATAAAATCCCGCCTTGCACTTGCAAACGTTTGGAAATATACATGATCCGCCGTTTTTGCATTTAGGTTTGCAGATAGCTGAAAAATTGATAAGACGCATGTTGTCAAACATAAAATATAATCTTTAAATGTAACCCATAAAATTTGACACATATTTTCTTTTTTATGAGATGAATCAGAATTATTGGTTTTTATTTCTTAAAAAAGATGACATTCTATCAGAGGTAAGAATCTAGGATGTGACGTAATCACCTTTCTGGCATCGTCTTCCTCTATAGTCCTGCCGACAGGAACACTTACTTGGTGCAACACATTTCCCGCCATTACTGCACCCACGCCGACAAATCGCTATACAGAACAATTAATCAAAAATCATGATCGATCGATGTAATAAGATACTTAATTCAAAGAATTCGATGTTTTGATTTATAATAAATTACTTTTAAATGATACTTAGTCTTACGTATTGAACAGTCTTTTCCCTTATAGCCCTTTTTACATTTGCATCTCCTTCTTTTCCAGCATATTCCACCATTTTGGCACTTTATACTACAGCCAACTATTGTTCATAAATATGATTGAGATAAATATATTATACAATTTAAATGCGTCTTGCATTATTACAATTCTTTTCAAGATTTTAGCAATTTAATATTTTTTTACGAACCGTTTGATATCCATAAGGCATACCTTTACATGTTGGTTGTAAATAGCCTCGAGGACAAACACAGACCCCAGGGCGAACGCACTTCCCGCCGTTTTTACAGCGTGGTTTGCAAATAGCTAAAAAAAATAATTCAATAAAACAACACAAATTCTTATTTGTATTATGCTTTAATGAGAAAAATATAATATCATAGTATATTAAAATCAAGGGTAAACAAGTCATTGGGCTACCTTTTTGGCACTTTTTCCCTTTGTAACCCTTTGGACATGCACAACTTCCGTCTCGTTTGCAGGAGCCGCCATTATGACATCTTTTCTTACACTCTTTGACTGACCCTGCATCTATAGAAATGGTGGATAGGAACAATATATCATCTCTGTTCACATACATGTACCATAATGACGGATATTTGCAAGTTAACAGTTTTTTTATGTAATTACCAGAACATGTCTTTCCCCCACAAGGTCTCGTCTGAATTAGTTGATTTTCTTTATCTAAGCAATTTTCAAGGTCATTGTTACCACAGTAACGAGTGCGGGACTGGAAGCCCATCCCACAAGACGCACTGCATGTAGACCATTCTGACCAATCAACAAAAACATCTGTAAAAACATAATAGTACGTTGTAAAAATGATAACAAACTTGCAAGCAATGCATAATTGAAATATATTGAAAAAGTAATTAGCCAAAGATGGTTGAAAAGATATTAATACTAAGTAAACGGAAAAAAGAAATAAATTTTAAGACTTGAAACAAAAATATTCAAGACTTAAGCCTTAGTCCTAGTGGAGGCTTTAGAGTAAAGCCAGCCAGCATTCTTTGTTCGTTAACAAAAAGCTCTCGTATGTAAATCTATTTCGTTTGCATCAATGGAAAAAAGAGAATGTAAAATATGTTGTTGTTTTTTTTTACCTTTGCATTTTTTTTTTAAAAAGGACAACTCTTACTTGATGTCTCTTGAGTATTTATAGCTGCTGTGGACGTGTTTTTAAATGTTGTTCTGTCTCCGATGTAGTCCGGCTTCGATTGTTCAGACTGTGTTAATTTCTGGGCCACGTTGACCTGACTGTCGTCTTTAACTGCTTTCTCTGTCCCAAATGTATTTTCCTAGTTGACATATTCAAATAATTAGCAATCAACATTGTCAAAAGGATATATATATAAATTAAGAGAAAATAGAAAAGATCATGAAAAAAAAAATCATTAGAAGAAATTGTAATCATTGTGGAATTCAAAAATAATGATGGAGTAGTTTAACAAACAACGCCATCTATTTATGCAGTGTCGGCAATAACAAAAACATATATTGCACATAAGGGCAATATTTAGAATTAAACAGAATATACTAACAATAACATCAACAAGAACCGTAAATGAAATGCAGCATAACCAAAATAGCAATTTCAATATCTTTAATGACACAGCAACATCATCAAAAGGAAAAATATCCTCAACAACAATATCAAAATCACATCACCACCATCATATATTACATCAAAGCTGGTCGACAACTTTCTTACCCCGTTTTGCAGTTTACTGGAACACTGTTGTACGGCTGCATTTGAATTCTTCACAATAAGTAGTTGTTCTATGGATCCCTAAAAGAATGAGGAATAAGTATGGTACAGTGATTAATTATAATATTGTATAAGTTCAGGAAAAATGGGTGTGAAACTTGTCCACTTCACGCAAAAGTGATATTTTAAAAAAATATTTGAAGAAATAATGGTATGGCGAAGCCTTGGTTGACAATGATTTTCTTGACATGAGAATTTTCTGCGCCTCGGTTGACAATTGTTTTGGGGTGAAAATTTTCAGTGTTACCTTGAAATACATGCAGTATTTATTATATTATACTAAATGTTTTGTAAAAATACATATAATGGCGAGTCGTACGCACATAAATACCCCGCAGTCAACATCGTTTGTAATATTGACCGTCATCTAGTAATGTTGACTGTTGCTTTGTTCTATCTCGCTAGAGGGCGTGGTTTCATCATTCAGAGGGTAATATTGTTTTATAACAAATGTTTCTCGACTAATCAGATTCAACTTATTTACATGAAAGTATAATATTGAAAATTGTCACCTGAAATGGACTCCCATGCCTTGCAAAGTAGGGTCCCAAAGCAAGCATTAAGTTCACTCCGACATAGGGGTTTTTACTTCTCCCAAAAAACTGTGATCTCACTTTCTCACAGTCAATAAAAAGAGTCACTTGTTGATCTTCCACACTGAAGGCGAACTGGTGCCAGGCAGAATCGCTGAGATTCTCTACAAATCCGGGAGATTTAGGCCCAGGTAGCCCGTTTTGATCGTAGTACTCTAAGATAAGTCTTTTTCCATACTTTATGGCCATTTTCTGTTGGCCCATGATATCACTAAATGTTAATAAATATCCTTCCGACGATATGTTAAGCTTTGCGGTGATTAATATAGAGAAATCCTTTGGAAATTTTCCTCTGTAGAGGTCTGAGAGAGGGATATATAAATTGGCTTCACTGCTTATAGTGTAAGCCGAAGTCCTGTTAGGTTCTATTGATACCCCGTGAGGAAGTTTCGGTAGTCCTAATGTTTTGAGTATATCTGTTGCTCCTGAAAAGATTGCGAAATTAAAGTGTCAATATTATGTATTAAAGGGCTTAAAAGAAGCCTCAATTTTGCACAGCCCATTTATTGTTACACGCTAAACGGAGAAAGATAGAAACAATACCAATGTTGATATCCTTAGTCTGTTTTGATATTTTGTAACTTTTGCTTTTGTTTCATGATCCTACTTTTTAATAAGAAGATGGACATTGAATGGTTTTTAAAGAATCCGGAACGACTCTAAGTACAGATCTTAAAATGTATGTTTATATATGAAGGTCATTAAAATTTCATCAATAGACAGAAAAATTGAAAGAATTGCCAATACATTGTTTCAAGGAAGCTAATTTTCCCTCTATAGATGTATAAAATACACTGACTGTACTTCTAACAAATTTGTAAATAAATAGATAAATCAATCAATTTCATAGATAAATAGATAGAAATTAATGCTTAGATAAAATATTATGAAGAGAAATTACTGTTTTCATTTCCGATTTCATTCATTCATGATAGAGACGCTCAACAGTATTGGCATTGACAGTCATATGTACAGTAAAACATTGTTATCACGAACATTTATTAATTGAGTATAAGTCGTTTTTTTTTTAAACAAAAATGTCTTAGTTTAAATTTATGTATACCTTTACAAGAGAATTCGTTACATGATCTCCTCTCTGAAACTGCGCTAGTACAGGAAGTCACGCTGTCAGTACAGCCTCGTTTTCGGATCTGAGTTCCTTGTCCACAAGTAGCGCTGCAGGATTCCCATGGAGACCAAAAATTCCAACCTTAAAATAAATAGATCTCTGAAACTTTTTTTGTACGAAATACTTAAAAGATCATTTATTTTCATAGATTTTTATTGGATACAAATCGACTTTTCCTCTTTGGGAATAAAAATTTAATATTGGGATGGACGACTACCTTTCAAATATGAGAGCTATAAATCTGGAAAAGGCTTTACTCGGGACGATCACTTCTCTGTTCTTGATGAAAAGAATATCCAACAAACACTATCACGCTTTACTATCATTCATGATTTGTTCAAAACAAAAAAGATTGTTACACCTTTTTTAAGGTTCATCGATACTCTGTAAGATATAGATCATAACTCTCACTTGGATAAATGATTATTATTCCTTTATGAAATTGTCAAGTTAAAAGGCCATATCTGTCAAATTTTGCCTTGCAAGGTATTCTGAAATTGTATGCATTTTTAATGATAAATTAGATTTCTATTAGAAAATCATTAGCTAAAAGCAATGATTTATAAAAGTGAACAGATGGACTATGAACCTTAATATTGTTTCCTGTATAAATCTATACTAAAATAAATCCAACATTTCCAATGTTTTACTGAGCGGTCAACCAAAAATTGATGTTGGACCGATCGTAGTTTGATGTTGGACCGGTCGCTGAGATGTTTGACCTCCATGACGTTTTATAGTCACACTTTATTCCTCCATGACGGTATCAGCTATATCTTATGTGCATTCGTTGGTGTGCGACAGTTACGGAATTGACCGGGTTAAATCCGCAGTGCGGGTAAACGAAATTTACATCAAACTTTTGTCATATTCGTCGGAAACCAGCGGAAGGTACGTTATAATAAAAAGTAAAAGGTATTACAAAACATTTATTGGCCTTGGTTCTCGGACAAAATACGTTTTGCCGAACCCTCGAACCAAAACTGTTTGCCTTCGACCTAAGGGCTTCAGGCAAACAATTTGGTTCTTGGGTCCGACAAAACCCATGTTGCCCTCGAACCTAATAAATGTATATTACTGTTTGAATGTTTAGTACATTTCCAGTAAGAGCAATTTTATCAAATAAAACTTCTTTATTAATCCCCAGAAGAACACCATAATAGTTTTGTTTTTCGTATTTTGCTGTAAATTTTATCAAGATATCAATTTCCACTTCTTACTATTGCATATCATACACTTCAAAGATGAGCTGAATCATTGAAATATGATACTAAACAGAACAATCTAATTGTCTTGTAGGCCTAACCAAAAGTAACAAAACGCACGATATATGGATAAGCATGCATTTGAATCAATAAAATCTTCAAAAACAAATGCTTTTATTTTTGGTCAATGCTTGAATAATCCCAATCCTTGCAAACCAAAATTAAGCGTGATAAGTTACATTATTACATTAAAATGGTCATCGTATGAAGCTGGTTTGTAATTGCTGTGAAGTTGAAAAATGTACTTTCAAAGTGTAACGAAATTTGAAACATTCCAGAATTAATTCAAAGCTCAGCAGAGGAACATATTAACAGAGATGATCTTTAATGTTTATTCTATTCTCATACCATTCAATAATATAGCTAATGGGTGCATCAAATTCATGATTTTTTTTTGCAATCTGTTGCTATATACCGTTTGATCATATCCATGAATGACCCTAGTTGTAACATTGCTAGCAGCTGGATTAAAACTTGTCAAATTATGTTATTTAATTATTTGTTCCATGATACAACGTTTTAATAGAAGTATGAATGGAACCGTCTTGAGATAAGACATTTATCCTACGTAATCTCCGTTATGGGTTCGTTGCTCATAACCCTAACTGTCTAATGCATTTTACAGAAGTATTTTGCGTGCGATAATCTATAGATATATCCTGCTGATATCTCCCTTATCACATCCTTGATCTGACAAAGAGATATAAAGTGTCATGAAGCACGCTAAGCGAGAATTCTACACACCAATAGAACACATACACGTGCACGTCGTGTATTAATAACATATGTCAACGAAGAATTGAAAAATGTTGGCACACCTGTACAGAGCTGGTCTCACGGTCACTCATTTTTTTTTAAACACAGTGCCAGTTTGTGAAAATGACGTGGTCAGAATGATAAGGTATTTGATATTCAAAAGAAATGTGCCGTTCAATATTTGATCGATGGAGATGCAAAACTTTACGACATGCATTAACAAGGTGTACGTGTACTTTTCTCATTGCAAATGTTATGTTTTCAAAATAATAATAATATGACGGATTAAGTTATGGAGAATTAATCTTCATTTATATACTTATGTATTTTAAATGCTCATGATATTATTTGTTCTTAAGGAATTACCACATAATGAAAATTATATCATTTTTTTTTCTTTTGGTTTCTGCATATCACCACCATTTACAGTTACCAGTATATATGTCAACAATTCCTACTTGTTTATTTAATTGTTTGTCTTCATACAATTTCGCTTGAAGATCAAATACAAAACCACACCCTATAGGTACCCTTGTCAGATATCAAAATGACCAAATGATGGTTTTCACTGAATGTGAAAGACCCTTGATACCCGTTTGAATCATTAACTGAATCAAGAAATATTAAAATGGCATTTTACAGAAAATTCCAATATCTGTTGTGCTATTGTGTGGACATTATTTGGGTTGTTGCCGAATCTTTTAAAATCTCCCAGCATTAGGAACTTTGTTAAGTTGCTGAAGTATCATACCTCAGAAATTGCACAATACAAACAATAGAAAACACATTTTGAAATGGTAGTCATTAGGCAAACTAAAAAGCATGGTTTCCAAACAGTGTTTTTTTAATCACATGACGGCGGCTGATCATTTTAAAGTAAACAAACTATTGAATTAATCAGTGTTAGCCTCTTAAAGTAACTTTGTCACGTTACCTTATTAGTAACACTGATTATTCATCTAAATCCAAAGATCCCCCTGTTTGTACTTAAAGGAAACAAAACACTGAAAGAAATGAGGTGGAAATTTTAATACTAAAACGTTTAAAATCTTTCAAATTCTTAATATTTAAAAGCCATTAGAAGGTCAGAGAGGAAAACGCCGAGACAGATCAAAGAAACCTTACAATATACCCAAATATGATTTACTGACTGGGTCACTATAATAACTTAATCTGGACTAAACCTCCCCCTCAGACATGTAAAAAATTCCACGTATATTACTGAGCAAATCTTTTTTAGAAGTAGTATTCCTCCCCGCGGCCAATCGGCGGCACTATATTTTTCACTTGGCTGCTCTTTTGAAAAGAAGGTGCAAAAGGTTTAAACGTCTCCAGAAAAAGGAGGCGAGAAAGGTATTAAATTGCTCTTGTGATATATAAAGAAACACTTGAGTAGCTTAAATAGAGCTCTTAAAAGTCATTGTTTTGATTAAAAGACCGTTTTGAAGTGCTAAGATGCGACTCAACAGCGACAAACTGTTTGAGAAGTCTGCAGGGTATCTCGAGACTGTTGGAATCCAATTCACAATCAACAGCATTATACAAATCAATGGGTATTAAATATTAAAGTGCTTTCTTCACTTAATTATGTATCAGAGAGCATTTAGAGACAAACTGTGGGGTCTCACAGACTTTCGTCGGTCATCATTTATCAAAAAAGAGTTTATACAATTTATGATTTTCAATTTACCTCGATAATTGAATTTTTATTTTTACCAACAATGAAGATCAAGACAATCTTGGCGGCAAAGCTTCTGTGTTGAGAAGATTTCGCTCTACATGTTACATTTCTCATCAAATTTTGAAATAACTTTAATCTTTTATTAAATTGGAAAGATAATTTTCAAAGATATGTTATATATTGCGAGTTATGATGAGAATATTTGAATCGCAAGGTGAGACGTTGCCTTCTTATCGATGTTTCAATTTCCCTAACAATTTTATAAAAATGAGCAATAAGAATATCTTGATACATTTAAAAAAAATAATAAAATAGTGTTATTTATCAACGTGTGAACGGTACTGGGTTTGGAAAAGATGTCTTTTTATAGAATTGATAACAAACAATACTAGTTATTAAAATAATAATATGTTGAAGATGCGGTACATTTCGCCTTAATCGATATGTAAAGGTTAAATTCATATCGACATTCAATGAAGTTGTGGTAATACCCTTATAGTATTTGTATTTGACGTGCTGAAAGAACCTAAATTCTTGAAGAAGAAAAAAAGAAAAAAAAAAGAAAAAAAAAGAAAAAAAAAACATATGGCTCTATTAAAATTAGATTTAGTGTTCATGGCATCTTTGATTTCCGACACAGAAAAAGAAAATCAAATTTTGAATTACGCACTAACACTTTTAGGCAATTTTCTCATAATTAACCTTATTTATTGCTGCTCCTTAAGATAGTCTGGCGAGTAAATAACGTTAGCCTTATCGGTGAAATTCGGACGATCTACCAACACTGCTGTTGAGATGAGTCTTTAATGCATTTAAACTTTATTTGCTTGTGAATCTATCCTCAAACTGGTTAAATAACCGTGTGCTATTCCAATTAATGTTTATTTACTGTTCAATTATTTGAAAATTTGGATCAATATTGATTTTTCACATGCGCGGCATTCCAGAGGAAGGAGAGAATTTTACGAAACAGCAAAGTTAAGGATAATTTTGAACACCGCTAATGATGACATTTCTAATTTTGAGGAAAATTTGCTTACACTGAACATGAAATTTTCATCTCAGAGTTTGCAAACATGTTCAAGATGGAAATTAAAAGCGGAAAAAATAAAGAACATTCTGAAAATGTCAATAGAAAAAACAAAAACCTTTCGAGATAATCAATTGCACTCTGCTCAGAAGTAATCATGTCTGTTTGAAGGAAGACAGAGATGCAATATAACACATCTCAACAGACTGGGGAGTAAAAACAGACCACTGCATGCAATATGTGGAAGTGTTCAGGGAAAATAATTTTCTTTCCTCACTTTCGAACTTTCATCATGAATTAAGTGCTTGTTTATTTTAAGAAAATTGAGAGATCGGTTATGATGTTTTGT